TGGTCACCTTCTTAGAGGGATATCGCCTAACATTGTTTTGACTGAAAGGCTGCTGTGCACCCGAGTTCCAAAGATGGCTTCAAGTTTCTCTAATTACCCATCCAATAGATCTGTCAAAGCAGTTCTGAGGTCATGATGACAATGACTACAGGCATGGATGGAGATCAGCACAAAGTTACTGTTTGCTTATTCAGCTTCAAAATCTTGATACTAATCCATACTCCCACTTAGAAATGAACATGCATTAGCATGAGCACGAGTGTGTACACACATGGCAGCCATGCTGTAGTTATGCTGTTGAGACCATCATACTGTGTCAACAGCTCAGGAGTGGCTTTTGTTCATTCCCACAGGTAAAGGAGAGCAATGGCCTGGAGAAACCATGTGAGGTTCAAAGCATCGCTAGAGTAGCCATCATGAAACCTTTTTTTGCCTACAGTTTCCACCTGGGCTAGTTTCTTAATTATGAAATATTCAATTATATATAAGAATTTGGACTTCCCACAGGGCAGGGCACCCTGATTTCACTTAGGACTGGAGAGGGGAGGGGGAGGGGAGGAGGGAGGAAGGAAAAGGAAATGGGAGGATGGGAGGAGGTGGAAATTTTTAATAAATAAATAAAAAAGAAATCAATGAGATTACAGTTAAAAGTCTCTGGCCTTGGGGTCGTTCCGGCTCCTTTATAACATTTGAGTCCCTCTTTTGATCATTTGGGATTTTGTTTTGTCTTTGAAAAGAATATGGTATCTCAGTGGAATTTCTAAAATGCAACTTATTTCCTTGCCTCTGTGGGCTCTGTAAGCTATATGTAGATAGTCATGGTTTCCTTGTAAATTTTGATAATAGCCACACATTTGTAGCAATATGTATATACTTAAGAATGTAAAATTCTAAACATATTTATCAGGCTTTCCCAAACCAGATCCTTGAACACTATCCCATAGCCCATTCCTCCTATCTATTCATTAAGGAACAGTGATGGGACATAGAAGGTAGGAGCCTGAACACTTCGAATCTCACCACTTCAGCTAAGCCCCGACCTTGACTCAGGTCTGCACCTATGGTCCTTATCTGTCCCCACAGTCTCTGACCCCACCTAGTTGTCACCATCCCAAGTCCCAGGAGAAGAAAACAGCAGCTCCTTTGACTTCTCTTTAAATAAAATTAAACAAAGCCCCAAGTCCCTAGACAGATGCCCAAGAATAAAAGAAAAAATAAAAGGAAGATGGAGGGAAGGAAATAGGTCTAGTGAGAAACCACTCCACAGGCCTGTGAGGCTGGAGTGCAAGGAAGTGTTCTCTCAACACCTGGATCTAGGACTCTGGAAAATAAAAGTTCAGCTACCTCAGACTCAACAGCCCAGAGGTGGAGAATACTTATGTTCAGAATAATTCCTCTGAGCTATGAATTTTGGGGCAAGGACAATCATTAAATATTGCCAAACTCAGGAACAACAAGCACAGAGTTGTTTCTCAGAGTCCCCACTGGAATGACCTTGCTAAGCAATGGGGTCTGGAATTTGTCAGGGTGGCTGTCATTTAGTTTCTGCTTATTTCGCTAACCCTCATACCTTTATATTTTTCCAAAGAGATGCGAGTTTGCAATTTAGGAATTACCCTAAGCTAAAACTTCCGCATAGGACAATACAAATCTTGAAGAGGAATATGCAGGCAAGATATAGTAATTTTTCATTTTTCTTAGATTTCAAAAATTACTAATAGAAATTCACCTTGACAGTTAGAAGTAAAGATGGACCCTAAGCACACAGTAGGGTCATTTCCAACAGATGCAGCCATAGAATTTTAACTTCTGCATAACTTTTGAGCCAATTTTATTTAGAAATTATTCAAATGTATGTCTAAATTCAATAAGTTCACCAGTTATTAAATGACTTAATTAACTGGCTAAAAATAATGAAGTTTGGCCATTCCCTAAGGTTGTGGTGTTATCTGAAAGGGAAAATTGAAAACAAAAAGCACCCACCCTTAATAAGAGCAAAAGTATTTTCGACTATGTCAGAGTGTTTTGGTAGGCTGATCTTGGTTTATGGAATACATGAAGTGATTATTCAACACACACACACACACAAAGTTCTCCACGTTGCAACTTAATTTACTCATGGACTCAAGTTCAAAAACAAACAAATAAAAACAATAAAAGCATGGTAAAGAAACCAAGAAAACAAAGTGACAGCTCGGAATTAAATAGGGCATTTATGACTTTTCTAGATTACCAGATTCAAGTATGAACTTCAAGTTCCATAGCTAAAGGAAACGGAGACCAACTGGCTGGCTGCAGCTTTCTATTTTGCCCTTCCTAGTACAAACCTCTCCGGGTAAATAAAAGCTATGCACACATCTCTCTCTGCCTGGTTTGCTCAGCACAGCCTCCATGAGGTCTGCCACGCAGCAGGGAGCCACTCTGAGAATGAGAGGCAGTTCTGCCTAAGCGTGCCTGACACTGCCCATGGCTTGTTCCTTTTCTCTAGTTTAGAGGCTTTCTGCAGGGATGCCACCTTGATGCAGTTAGTCAGTAAGACATTCCTGGCGAATGCAACACTTAGTGGAGATATTTTATCTCGTTTATTGCTGTTAGAAGGATATGAATGTAGACATGCAATGCAAGCAAAACAAGTGACCATTTCTTTCAGTAAGAATTGGGAACAATTTTTTCCTGCTCAGAAACTGTATATATATAATTTTTAAAACTATTTATGGTGAAGAAGACTTTTTCTTGGGCAACACTAAATAAACATACACCAAAGGGGTTATTTAACTACAAACAATGCACTGTTCAATGTCCCATACTAATAGTATATAAAATTGGCACACTATTTGATTCTTTCTTTAAAAACTTGTGGGCGGTGCTTAGGAGTGAATCCAATTACTGGACTTTGTACACGCTAGGCAAATAGTGTTTTGGTTGAGCCTCCAACTTGGTTTTTTTGAGACAATGTCTCAAACTGTGTAACTCAGTTTGTCATACAGCTATTTTTATTGTCTATTGAGTCTTATTCTTAAATAATGAAACATCTTTCTCAATCCAGAGTTCTATTTTCTAGGTTGTCTCTTCTAGACAAAAAAACAGAGCATTTTTTAATGCCATACTATAGTTATTACAGATATTCTTACCATTAACCTTTTTTGAAGTGGATATTATGGTCGCTATGGATTAACCACTATATCTAATGTGTTCATGAGGAAGTACATGCAATATTATACCAAAGGTAGCTATTTCAACATGTGTATGGCAACTACATGGATATTCTTGGCAATCTTATGTATACAATTTTATGTACACTATTTAGTTGCTAACAGCTTGTCAAATTGGTCTCTGTCATAAAAAGGTAAGTTCACATTTATATTGGCCATATATTGCTTAGAATCTGTACCCAGAAAACAATGTAGAGTAAACACTGAAAGTGGGGCAGGGATTCAATGGTTTGTAATGATGCAAATTTGGGAAGACTGTAAGTTAGATAACAGCTTCTGCAATCATAGGAGGAAGAAAAAGAGAGGCATGCTCATGTGGCAGAAACGGCTGTGTTATACACATAAAGAGTCATCGTAAAAGCCAAGGCAAATCAAAGGTGATAGAGAAAAGCCCCTGGCTAAACCTGGAATATAAGGACTGGAGACATAGAAGCCACATTGCTCTATAAAGATTAGAACTAAACTTAAGAAAATGAAATCTTCTGGAAGAGAAACTCATAGGGCTATTAGAAACACAGGGAGCAACAAAGGAGGTAAAGGATAGAACATATGCAGAACCGACCAGAGGCAGGGACTTGGAAGGGCAACTAGATTATGTAGGTGACCTTTTATGTAGCTAGGAAAGCTAAACTGTGCACCCATCTGCATCTTTCCCTCAGTCATCAGCTCTTTCACCTTACAGTTATGTCACCTTTGTGACTTCATTTCTTTATTTAAATAAAAGGTGTGTAAAGACAATTATTTTGCCAGATGAAGGTTAAACAGGGTGGTGTAGAGACTATCCTTTATGCACATGGGTGAAATTAAACACTCACAAATGTAGACTTCTAACTTCAGCCCCAATATGTAACAACTAACAAGTGACCCCAAGACATGAGTATATATCAAGGGCTCTGGAGATTATAACCTTCAGCTACAACAAAAGCTGAACATCTCCAAACATCTCTCCAGGTGACTGATGTGTCAGTTCCTCAGCTGGATCATATGGCCTACTTTAAAGTAATTTTAGCTCTATCCCACAGACGAGAACTGTCTATATGAAAATAACCAATAAAAGAGTCCAGGGCAATATTCACAAAGGAGCCAAGGGCCACAGAAGTCAGTCAGAGGACTCTAGAAACCCAAAAGGTGAACTTGGTACCCATCTTCTTCAAGGTATCACTTCCTGGTGTATTTTGGAATTGAATCTTTGGTCCCACTGTTAATCCTTTGCTACTGTATTCATCTGACAGAGGCAACCAAATATGATTCTTGTCCACTTAGGACAATACATATCTAGAAGATGTAGTTTTAAACCACATATCCCAAGAGAAGAATTAGATGTAATTCTGTATCCAAAGCACAAACTTCTTTTTTCTTGAGTTTGTTCTTATCATCATTACTTTAGACATGAAATTTTTTTCCTGTAGTAGGTTAAGCTCCTCTCTGTGCATTTGATGGAAATGTGAGGAAAGAGATGAGTGTTATCTTCGAAGTTTACATGGGAAGAGAGGAGAATGAAAAGACAAGGAATAAAAAGTTTTTGTTAAAGGAAGGGCCAAAAAAGAAAGAATGGCCCCATATCTAAACTGTATTATCATAAACTCAGTGTACAGTTACTACTGACCCTCCCATAACCTGGCTCCACCCATGAGGACCACAGGTCAGGCTGACCAATAGCTTTAAAGAATTGTACGGAACAAAGGGCCACAACATCGTCCGTGAAGAATAAAAGGCCACTACTTCCAGCAGCAGCACATACCTGCTTCTGACACTTGTGATCAGCAGCAAGCTCGCACACCTGACATCATGGTGAACTTCACTGCTGAGGAAAAGGCTCTGGTCAATGGCCTGTGGAGTAAGGTGAACGTGGAAGATATTGGTGGTGAAGCTCTGGGACGGTAAGACTTGGTTGCCGATTCATCTGGGAGAAGGGTGAATAGTACTTTGGACAACTAGCCAGGAAAGTCAAGAATTCTAAGTATTCCTGATTTTTCCATGTCTCTCACCTATTTCACAGGCTTCTCGTTGTATACCCATGGACTCAGAGGTTCTTTGACAGCTTTGGGAACTTGTCCTCTGCCTCTGCCATAATGGGCAACCCGAGGGTCAAAGCCCATGGCAAGAAGGTGTTGACTTCTCTTGGAGAAGCCATTAAGAACCTAGACAACCTCAAGTCTGCCTTGGCTAAACTCAGCGAACTTCACTGTGACAAGCTACATGTGGATCCTGAGAACTTCAAGGTGAGTTCAGAGCAAGTTCACTACTTTATTTTGCATTTGTCTTGGGGACAAAATTGGAAGCTGAGAATATGAGTGATGGTGATGCCAACACAGACTTCAAAGTTCAGTGGTCCAGGCGGGATGATAATGAATGGCTGTAAGAAGCTTGAATGAGTTTACAGGCATTTAGAAAATTTTGTCATGACAGAATTATATTGTACTTATCATGGAGAGAAACGGGAAAGAATAACTGATCTGTGCAAGAAGAAATGGAATCTGGAGAGGAAATTAGCTTAACTTCTGTAGATACTAATAATTGATGTTGAAGAAAAGATTTGGGGTGCAATTTAAAGTTGGAATTTCTTTATCAACATCATAAAAATGTGTTCAATTCCAAAGTGAGCATTGCAACAAGTGGAGGCTTGTTCCTGTATCGGTGATGGTTTTAAAACTCTACCAAGAGCACTTGCAGCACAGAAATTCGGTATTTACAGATAATAGACAATTGGTGAATGGGAAAAGTAGCAATAAAGGCAAATGAATATAATGGAAAGAGGAGAAAGTGTGAGAAATCAGGCAGAGAAGTGGTGAGTGCCAAGACAATAGCAAAATTGAACCTATGCTTATCAGAGATGACTGAAAGCGGAGTTTGATACTGGTTGTGTTAGAGTATAGGCTCAAAATATTTTTTGATTTCCTTGTATTTTTTTTCTGAGCCTGCATTTAACATACCAATCTGTTTATTTTGTCTTTCCTTGAACAGCTCCTGGGTAACGTGCTGGTGATCGTTTTGGCCAGTCACTTTGGCAAGGAATTCACGCCCGAGGTGCAGGCTGCCTGGCAGAAGGTGGTGGCTGGGGTGGCCAATGCTCTGTCCCACAAGTATCACTGAGCACTGTCTCTAGATGTCCAGCAATTCTGTGTGTCCCCTATGCTCCCTTGATGCACATGAGTACTGGACTGGTCCTTGAGAACACGGGTTGTTTAATAAAGATCATTCATCTCAGTAATCAAAAAGTCACTTTTGTCTTGTCTGTTTTTCACTTCATTGCTAAAAAAAGCTGTCTGATGGGTTTGTGGGAGAGGGGAAGCAGAGGAAGACACCCGGGTTTCTCTGAAACTGAAAATACTCGAGGGAGGAAAGTAGATGCTTGGAAGGCTTCTTCAAACCCAGGGAGAGTCTAAAGCTGGGAAAGAATTTTCAAAGAGAAGAAGAAAGAGTTCAGTTAGTGAAGAAATAATTGTGTTTGGAATACAAAAAAACTTAATGTAGTGGGTAAAGAAAATTGTGTCATGTGATATCTCATGGCAGGTTGTGAAATACCCCATTTCCATTAAGAAAATGTTTGAAAGAACTGAGAGCTAAGATAAGATTATTATTTTAAATTATTTAATACATATCCTCTTCTTCTTAAAAGAATTTATTAGATAACCAACTGGTGTGCTTTTCCCTGGGGAAGATTATTTCTCCAGCTCTCAGCATCCTTTAGTTGCCTGTAATTCTTTGTGTGTGGTTAAAGTTTTATGGGTTTTCCCTCATCCATGTTACTGGGTCTCACAACAAACTCCCTGATCCTCTGACTCTTGCAATATTTTGTACCTCTTCTTCCCTTTAGCCTTGGGTGCAGGAGTGCTTTGTAAATGTGTTCACTAGGACTGGGTTCCACAACTCTGCATTTTGATGTGTGCTGGGTGTCTGTAGTGGTCTCCATCTATTGCAAAGAAAAGTTCTCTGGATGAGGGGTGAAGAATACACTTACATATACATATGTGCATACAATGACAATGAATGACAAAAGAAGCCATAAATTTGAAAGAGAGGAAAGAGGGTAGATACAAGGGTTGGACAAAGGAGAGGAAAGAAAGATAAGTTGTAACTATATTACAATTACAAAAATTTTTTAAAAGCTATTTATTATTTTAAGTTTTATAAGTCCGTGTGTATGTCTATATTTGTGTTTGTGTATGTGTAAGGAGGTGCTCCTGGAAGCCAGAGCTATTATTTTCCAGCAGAACTGGGGTTCAGGTGGCAATTTGGCTATTTGGGTAGATCTGTATACATTACTACCAGCTCACAAACGTCTTATATTAAAGATAATGTACTTGGTTTTCTCTCAGACTGTACGTTCTGTACTGATACACCAAAAAATCCTTCCACTGATATATGGGAAGAGCAAAGAATTCTTAAAACTCTTAGTAGGAAGTCACCACTACTTAGACAACAATGAGGACACTACGAGAGACATATACAGATCTAATCTTCATGGAAGTAGAAAAAGACAAGATCTCCTGAGTAAATAGGGAGCATGGGGAATTCGGGGGAGGGTTGAAGGAGAGGGGAGAGACAGGGAGGAGAGCAGAGAAAAATGTAGAGCAAAATAAAAATCAATAAAAAATGAAAATAATAATAATTAGAAAAAACAATCACACACAAAAAAAGAAAGTCACCACGAGGGAGGGAGTTCCTAACGTGCAACTCTGTCCCAGCATGTGCACTATTACTGGATGGAAATACCCCTGGTGCTTCAGTTATTTTATGAATACACAAAACTGTAGACAGAGCCTGGTCGAAGAACCTGAAAGGCCAGTCATTCAGCCTTCTAGGACTCAACCTGACAAGAGCACTGACCCCACTTCCTGCATCACCAGGCCACTGCACGTTTCTACAGGAAAACAGTGTGCTCCTAGGGCTTAAATGCCATCATCTGCACACAGCAGATTGCTCTATTTTACAGTGTGATGAAGGCAAATGTAGAGACCACATTTGCTCTACACACCAATCTTTTCCTACTCAGAAACGGAAATGTAAGGAGGCTGTGGGGAAATAGGGAGATCATGGCCTAAACCTCTAGAAAATGCACCCAACAGTTTGCACAGCACTTCCTTGTATTGCATGGCTTCTGAGTAAGGGGCATATTCCTGCCATTCAGATACTGATTCCCATGCCATAAAAAAGCCGCATCCTCTCTAGGGCTGCCCCATGTTTGTCTTTGCTTCAGCTTTAATCTACTGACCTGCAAGGCTCCAGACAAAAAGGGAAGAGTGGGAAAGACACCCTTGCAAATCTCCTGTTGGGAGGAGAGGGGACCAAAGAAAAAGAAGGAAGGAGACAGAGAGAGTAAAGCTATGAAAAGCAGCAGGAGGGTCTCCCCCATGAGGGAAGGGGCCTGCTTGACACTATCTTACTGGGAATGCTATCTAAACCTGACTCCTCTGGACCGCACCCCTGTCTTGCCCAGCCTCACTTACTTGACCAATGGCCTCAGAGTCCTGGGGAGGGGGAAGGGGTGCAAGGTCCAGAGTGAAGAATAAAAGGCCAAGCCTTCAGCCATTTGAGCACACTGGCTTCTACACACCTGAGATCAACTTCCAGCTTCTTGACCTGACACCATGGTTCACTTCACAGCTGAAGAGAAAGCCGCTATCACAAGCATATGGGAAAAAGTGGATGTGGAAAAGGCTGGAGGAGAAACCCTGGGAAGGTAGGATGAGAGTCCAGGGTAGGGGAGTAATGGAGGGGGTAAGTCATGCATGGCAGAACTAGCCAGGCTTCCATTAGCGGGTGGTGACACGTTCTGACTTTCTAACTGCTACTGCCCTGTGTGTCAGGCTCCTGATTGTCTACCCATGGACTCAGAGATTCTTTGACAAGTTTGGAAACCTCTCTTCTGCCCAAGCCGTCATGGGTAACCCCAGAATCAGAGCCCATGGCAAGAAAGTGCTGACATCCCTAGGCTTGGCGGTTAAGAACATGGACAACCTCAAGGAGGTCTTTGCTCATCTGAGTGAGCTGCACTGTGACAAGCTTCATGTGGACCCTGAGAACTTCAAGGTCAGTTCAGAACATGCCCTTGTGCTCAATTTAAATATGACATGGGGAAAAGAATGAAAGTTAAGAGCATGATCGGTACCTGTTGCTTTTGTTTGTTTCCAGAAATCTATTCCTCATATTGGGTTGTCTTCCTCAGCCTTAATGCAAGGGGAGGAGCTAAGTCCTAACTCAACTTGATATACTCCTTCCTGAATAGAAAGAGGAATGGACAGGGAGCAGGGGACAGGATGGGAGGAGAGGAGGGAGGAAAAACTGTGGCCAGGATATAAAATAAATGAACAAATTTAATTAAAATAAAAAGGAGAGTGATTATAATGGCACAGACCTCAAATGTGGATCAGATCTAGTGTTAGTGAATTGCTAGAAACTTCTTCTATAAATTTGCAAATATTCAGAAAAGTTTTTTAGACAGAGTTGTATTATCTCACTATGTAACTCAGTATTGTCTCAGGATGTAACTCAGTTGGCAGTATATATGAAGTGCTCAATGCAATGCCTACCGAAGGACAAAAAGGAATAGATTTTGGAGTTGGTTACAATTCCTCCCTACTTTTGAAAAAGGAAATTAGCATATATGTGGAAGTAGAAATAGCATTTGAAATTGACATTTTGTTTTAGAGAACGAGAAATACATTATGTGGATTCTAAATGACACTTCAGGAAAGATATGAGAAGAAAACTAGACAGATTTTTCTTATCAATGTGATGGACTTTTAAAAAAATCATTAAAGTTCTAATGAGTAATATCAGAAGGAGTGAATGCTCCGTCATCGCAGACTTAAACTCGAGTAAGCATGTTTCTGCTCTCAAATCCTGTGCTTACTGAAGCCAGGCCATTTGTGACTAAGAAAAGGAATAAGAGGCATAAAAATGGAAGATTGTGGAAACAAAAGGAAGCAGGCCAGAAGAGGTTCAATGGGGAGCAAGGAGGGCATTTGAACAGTGAAACTGAAGCAACCTCCTCATTAGAGTGAACAGATAGTTGAGGATTGGAGTCCTCAAAAAAAGTAACTTAAACATACTGTTTTTTCATGTAAATTCCCTTTTCTGTCTTTTTCTTCATTTTTGTGTTTTCTCTTATAGCTCCTGGGAAACACGCTGGTGATTGTTCTCTCTTCTTACTTTGGCAAAGAATTCACGGCCGAGGTGCAGGCTGCCTGGCAGAAGTTGATGGCAGGAGTAGCCAATGCTCTAGCCCACAAGTATCACTGAGCCCCCTTTCCTGATAACCAGCACTCTGTGTACCCCTCAGCCCCATCTATATAAGACCACTGTGCTGGAATTTGAAACCAGAGTTCTGTTGAATAAAGTCCATTCTCTTCAGTAACACAAGAGTCATATTTCTCATTGTATATTTCTCACTTTTGTGTTAAAGAAATAAGGTTGAAGGGCTCATAGTAGGGGAGCGGCATAACAGGAAACCCAAGTTTCTCTGAAAATTGTATCTGGACTCAGGGGAGGAAGGTAGATGTTAGGAGATTTTTCTAAGGTGTCAGGGAGGGTGAAGAGTTGAGAAGAATTGTCATGTGGGAAAGCAAAGGTTAATCTGCTGGAGAAGGCATTGTACTGCAGTTGCAATAACTAGTGTGACAAATGTCAGGAGCAGCTTGTGATATGTCTTGTTTAATTAAGACAAAGCTTTACACAGAGCTAATGCCTAAGCTGACATAAACAACGTACTCAGATTCTTTATTTTAAGAAACAATTTACTTTATTTTTAATCACGTGTCACTGTGTCTGTTTGTGTTTTGTTTTGTGCATGTGAGTTCAAAATTCTAAGAGGTCCAGACTGGAACTGGTCAAGTCCCACTGGAACTGGAGTTTTAGGGGTTTGTGCGCCGCCTGCCATTGGTGCCGAGAACTGAACTCAGTTCCTCTGAGAGCATTTTACTCTTAAACACTGGGTCATCATCTCTCCATCTCTAAGTGTACATTTTCCAGCAGATGCTTTATCTGGTGTTCTCTGGGTCTAATTGCAAGAAAAAGGACAAATTAACAGAGAGCAATGAACTTTTAAGAAAACGTTTCAGTGAAACGATAATAGCAGGCTTATGTTTTGAAGGAGTTCATTGTCTCAATGAAGAGGCAAAGATATGAGACACAATTCGGTGCAATTCCCTGTCAGACTGTAGCGAGTGAAGAGATGGTGAAAGAGAAAGAATATAAGTGGAACCCTCTCAGGGGATTATGGCTATTTCATACATGGGCAGTCTACATGGATGCTAAAACTTTCTGTAATCTAAAGCCTGTAAACTAGATGTTAATGATTTGTTTAAAACTATAAGGTATTGAAGAGATAAAATATTGCCAAAATTAGATAATAGGGACCTTGATTGTAAAAATCTACTTTATTAGTTAGGAAACAATAACCTCACCTGGTGAAGCCTGCTTATCATCCCCCCTACTTGAAAGTACAAGCAAAGTAGCACAGTTTAACAGATTGCCTGAGCCAGAGTCAGTTCAAGGCTCACCTACAACTTAGCGAGTTGCTGTCTCAGAATAAATCCTGGTCTGAGGATGTTGCTCCATGTGGAGCACTGATCTAACATGTGGAATGTCAGAGATTCAATTCCCAGTACCACTAAACTAAGAACACTGAAAGAATTGATTGGTAACCAATAAAGAGTCTCTGGAAAACCGACTGAAGAAAGGGGCTATTGAGAAAATATCCTCCTTACGAATCCAAAGTTGATCTAAATTCTCAGGAACTGGATGTCACAGTGCTATAAAGGTTTAAACTAAGTAGGTGAAGCAAGGTGTGCAACCACAGCAATGACCGAAGGTGGGAGAGACAGGCATGGGGTCAGATACACTGGAAGGTTGAGTAGGAAACAGTAACAACGAACTCACAAACCTTGAGTGGGTGTAACTATATAAGGCATGCCGTGAGACACTCAGATGGGGAAATCACACCTGAGAGAGTTTAAAATTGCTCACAGTCATTCACGTCCTAAGTCAATCTCATGTGAAGTTTGGGATATTTAAATGGTAGAAGTCAGAGGACAGCACCTGCTCTTGACTCCATAGATATGGAGAATGACAGAAGAAGACTCAAACATGACTGGGGGATGATAGTTTAAGTAGTCTTTGTCTACTTTAAAGATGAGGGACGAATGATTCCTTAGTTTCACGTTGTCAACAACATTGATCTTTCTGGTCCTCCTAGCTTTTCAATATGGCACTAAAAAATTCAGACCTTGTACAAGGCACTGAAATTGGTTATCACTGGGCCCGTCAATAGATGAGACAATGCCCACTTTTATCAATTTCTTTCTCTTCTTGCCATCACTAATGATTTGGCTCTAGATGTCAGCAGATAAAGGCTGATAGTTCTGTGTTGTACAAAGAAGAGACATTTACCACCAGCTTGAGAGCTAGCTATGCCTAGCACCACTACAACGTGAAAAAGCAAGATAACTGAAAAGTAACTATTAATATATTTACTCACATATTCACATATACAGGTCAGGATAATACAAAATTTTGGTTTGTTTGTTTTGTTCCTGGAGACATGGTTGCATGCCTGAGGCTGTGGGGAAATAGGGAGATCATGGCCTAAACCTCTAGAAAATGCACCCAACAGTTTGCACAGCACTTCCTTGTATTGCATGGCTTCTGAGTAAGGGGCATATTCCTGCCATTCAGATACTGATTCCCATGCCAAAAAAGAGCCTCATCCTCTCTAGGGCTGCCCCGTGTTTGTCTTTGCTTCAGCTTTAATCTACTGACCTGCAAGGCTCCAGACAAAAAGGGAAGAGTGGGAAAGACACCCTTGCAAATCTCCTGTTGGGAGGAGAGGGGACCAAAGAAAAAGAAGGAAGGAGACAGAGAGAGTAAAGCTATGAAAAGCAGCAGGAGGGTCTCCCCCATGAGGGAAGGGGCCTGCTTGACACTATCTTACTGGGAATGCTATCTAAACCTGACTCCTCTGGACCGCACCCCTGTCTTGCCCAGCCTCACTTACTTGACCAATGGCCTCAGAGTCCTGGGGAGGGGGAAGGGGTGCAAGGTCCAGAGTGAAGAATAAAAGGCCAAGCCTTCAGCCATTTGAGCACACTGGCTTCTACACACCTGAGATCAACTTCCAGCTTCTTGACCTGACACCATGGTTCACTTCACAGCTGAAGAGAAAGCCGCTATCACAAGCATATGGGAAAAAGTGGATGTGGAAAAGGCTGGAGGAGAAACCCTGGGAAGGTAGGATGAGAGTCCAGGGTAGGGAAGGAATGGAGGGGAAATCGTGCATGGCAGAACTAGCCAGGTTTCCACTAGCGGATGGTGACACGTTCTGACTTTCTAACTGCTACTGCCCTGTGTGTCAGGCTCCTGATTGTCTACCCATGGACTCAGAGATTCTTTGACAAGTTTGGAAACCTCTCTTCTGCCCAAGCCGTCATGGGTAACCCCAGAATCAGAGCCCATGGCAAGAAAGTGCTGACATCCCTAGGCTTGGCGGTTAAGAACATGGACAACCTCAAGGAGGTCTTTTCTCATCTGAGTGAGCTGCACTGTGACAAGCTTCACGTGGACCCTGAGAACTTCAAGGTCAGTTCAGAACATGCTCGTGTGCTCATTACTATTTTTGCTAGCAACATTACTAGGAATTGATACTATAATTGCTAATGCCTTCACAGATTCTCATCTACATGGCTCCAAAACTAGCGTCAGTAAATAAGTAATATAAGTCTAAATTAATATTTAGCTGTGCAAATACTGTGGAAGAGAAAGATTTTGGTGCAGCATAGACTGTACCCCTAGCATGCCTGAGGCCTTGTGTTGGATCTCTAGCATTGGGAAACAAAGGGTTCAGATACTGGATGTTTTTTACAGAGTGTTTTTAGAAATTTGTAGATTTATGCAAGAAGAAACCGAATTTGAACTGGATATCTTGTAGTTAGGAAGAGAAAATATCTTATTTATTTGGTGCCTAATAAACGATACTTTAGGGAAAGATATGGACGAATTCTAAAAACCTGATCTTGTTCATCTTTTGACAAACTGTCTAAGTATTTTACATTCCCACTCAACATCGGCATAATTGGAGGTTTCTTTTTTATTGGTTGGACGCTTGACTCCATTAAGCATCTTGTTATCCTGCAATCTTATGTTCATTTCGATTAGTCCTTTGGTGAATGAGACAGGAGGCAAGGAATACAGGCGGTAAAGGGGCGGAATGAGGAAGGGTACAGATCCAGCTGGTTGAGTGGTATATGGGAACAAGAAGAGTTATGCAATGTAGTTGCCAAGTTTGTCATAGGTGAAGGGATAGGTATTGGGAGACAGAGATCCTCACGGGATATAATTTTTATATGCCATCGCTTTGAACCTCTACATATCACTGCCATTTTTTTTTTGTTACAGCTCCTGGGTAACATGTTGGTGATTGTCCTTTCTGGTCATTTTGCCAAGGAATTTACCCCTGAGGTGCACGCTGCCTGGCAGAAGCTGGTGATTTGTGTGTCCAATGCTCTAGCCCACAAGTACCATTAATCTCCCATTTCTGTAGACCAGCAATCCTGTGTGTCTCTCATGCTGTCTTCGAGCACATGAGGACTGGACTAGGCCTTAAAAGCACAGATTTTGTTTAATAAAGTTGATTCTCAATGATCTAATATTGTGTTTTTTAACCTTTTATGTTGAAAGAAGATCTGGGTGGGCTTATGAGTGGGGAGGGAGGGATATACTGTGGAAAAGTGGTGAGGCTCAAGGAGGATGAAGAGATGACAAAAATTCTTCAGGAAGAGAAGAAAGGGTTCACTCAGTATATGGTAGGGTACAAAACATTTACTGTACAAGGTAAAAAAAAGGGTAGCAAGTGGTTAGGGGGAAAGAAGGCTAGTGAGACATGCTAAACTTTTTCTTAAGTTTTGCGATATGTGTATGAGAGTTTTGCCTGCATGTGTGCATGTGTACTACATGTATGCAGACCAAGAGAGGGTCATATCCCCTGGACTGGAAGTATAGCTCATTATGAGCTGCCACGTGGGTGCTGAGAATGGAAATCTGGTCTTTCGGAAGAGCAGAAAATGCTTTTATATCTGAGTCCTCTCTTTAACCCCGAAACAAGCTGTAGATTTTTAAGAGAAATCCTTATGTATCTAAAATACAAGATAGAAGTACTATTTTTAATTCATTGTGCATTTTTGAAGAGTTGGCTTATACCTTGTGAGACTGAGATATCAAAGTAAATGGGGAGCGGAGTGATATGTGGG